ATCTGCATGCACTACATATACATATTCATTCTCTAACTATTATGCATTTAGCATTAACTACCTATTAAGAGCCAAGGTCATTCAGTCAAAAGAAGCTTCAAAGTACCATCCAATAAATCAACTCAAACAATTATTCACTGGAAAATTACCCTTCTTTCCAGTGGTTGTGAGAACGAAAGAGAATGGTCTGCTGCTACCATAAACTAGTGTAATAAATAAACAAGATGGCTGGTTGTCAAGGGGTAAAAATTACACTGTTGAAAATGCAATTGGGTTTCAGAGACCTTCATATTTAAACTCTTTGTGGAAAGGAGTCATAGCCTTTTATAGCTCAGACCTAAAGGTCACTTTTTAAAAAAACACTATAATTGAGAACTGAAGACTAATCACTGTTAACTGTCATAACAAAATAAAAAACATATCAACAATCTAAGCTTGTATTAGCAGTAAAATTATATGTTTCATTTGGCTACAGGAATTCTGTTTAGCTAATGAAATCATCCAGCATTACAGCTAAAATTAAAACAGAAAGATTAATTTAGTTGTTGTTAAGTGGTGTCCATTATTCACCCATTATTATATTCAATTATTCTCTTTTAGAAATAAGGTTATAACCAAAGTTGTCAAAATAAACCAGGTACATCAAGTTGCGTACAATTTAGCAAACATTTGAATAACATTTTGACTATATCACAGAGCAAATAAGTTTGAATCATGATTACTAAAATACAGAAATGCATGGATTAAATGTGACCTGTCATATCCCTGTGATCAAATATTTATACCCAGGTCATGTTAAAAAAATGTTTTTCCTATTTTTTTTTTACATTTTGTTTTGCTTTGCCTTGTTTTTATTTCTAATATCAGGTACATTTCAAGTCTGGTTGCATGTTTCTGAGTGAAAGTGACAGGGAGACCAAAGCAGTTTCACATAAAAAGAAAACAAAACTCAAAAATAACCAACAATCAAGAAAAAATTCTCCACCAAAGCTGAAGCAGTCCGCTATAACAGCAAGGAGCCAAAATGCTCCTGGCTCATACACTGACAACCCTGGGTTTGAAGGAGAGGTTCACATAGACTTAGTGGTATCTGGCCTGCAGTAAAATCTTTGTAGCAGACTTTTTGTATATGTGAAATTTTGGGGGAGAGAGAACATATATTTTTTTAGATTTTGAAAGGGATCACTAACTACTTAAAAAAACAAGAGTAATAATATAATTCTAACAATGAGCCTTTAGGATATTATTTGACTTTCAGAAGTAGCCTGTTATTTGAAATGCTCATATATTAATTATAATGCTAAAATATTAAAATATTGTGTTTCCTTATGGATTTTTAAAAATAAACTCAATTGTTGAAAATATAATAGAGCTTAAAATTTAAAATTACAATAATGCTAATACTTTTAGGATTTTACTGATTTTATTTATTTAAATTAAAATAAAACTCTTTGTGTCTTTATTATAAATGCAATATACGTTTATCGTAAAATATTTTTCTTAGAAAATCAATTTGTAAATCATTTATAACTCTATCATGTGATGCCAGTATTGCACAGAATACTTTTAAAAATTTTTAAAAACGTATCTTTATCGTTGAAAGTATTATAGATGTAGCCCTTTTTTCCTCATTGACCCCCTCTCCAACCTGCTCCTATCCCCCCCAGACCTTCACCATAGTATTGTCTATGTCCATGAGTTATGAATACCTATATATAAAAAGCTAATATGCTAAGTGTCCCTCAAACTGTCTGATCGGATGCAAAGAGTGGGTGTCTCTGAGACTAAACTGTCTCAGCCACAAGGTTGTAAATCTTTCCATAATGATAGGCATTTCTCAGGACAGGAGGATGGACTGCATTCTGATGTGAGCTCCCCTGTCCCAGGGCATAGAGCTCCCAGCCAGGTTCGATGTGCTTTCTCTAATCAGAACAGAGCCATCGTGGTTGACAGAGCATGATTAATGTCTATTTATATAAAAGGCTAATATGTTAAGTGTCAGCCTGGGTAATGAGGTCACGTAGCAACGCCCGGCTTCCTCTCCCTGGTGACTAGCCTTCTTGGAGTTTCCTTTAGCCCAGGAACACACTTGCTTTATAGCCAGGTGGAAACATTTTACACTTTGTAAATGTCTGTGAAGCATTTTCCCGTGCCTCATCTCATTTGATCCTCACAGAAGTCCTGGAGTAGTTAGATAGGAGACTCGGTAGAATCCTTTTTTTTTCATTAGGCGGAAAAAGGAGATTTAGAATGTATAGAAACTTGTTTCAACTGAAAAGAAGAAATGGTGAACCTTGAAAATGACTTCAGGCTTTCTCACTGCACAGAATATAGTCAAACACTGCTGCAGTTAAATATTTTACCCTTTTTTCTCCCTGCATGATCTACAATAATAATCTGTTTCATGTTGATATTTACTGCTGTGTTGCTGACAATTACCTGAAAGAGAAGTTGGGGTGCTTCACTGGGCTGGAAAAAGTTTAGCTACATCAGAAAGCAGGTCTAATTAAGCAAGTTTATTCTATATCTATAAAAGGCTAAGTTGACTTGCACGTGCATGATACATATAAAGCTCTTGCTGGCGCCAATTGCACGCGTGTGTTTCAATCCATCATTGTCGATCGTGAATTTGGTTGACACTTCTTATTGTAGAGAAAGGGCAAATAGCAATTTTAAAATATTTCTTCTAATTAATTTTCTTTCAATGTGCACAAATCCGTACACTGGGCCACTATTATGCATATCATTTCTTTGGGTCACAGTATACCTTTTGCAGTTCCTTCTATGAATGACAGTTGTTCCTCTACAGATGAACAAATCTTTATGTTACACAAATAATCTCCTTTTGTTCTCTAAAAGTTTTAATTATTATACATAGTACCAACTATGTTTTCTTAAGTCTAAAAATTAGTACAGTCTACAGTACAAGTTAAATATATGATTAAAATAAATTGTTGCAGAAATGGTACTACTAATATTCATAGAACATTTTGTCCTTTATTTATACAAGTTCTGTTATTAATTTGCAAAATGCCATATACTTGGTAAGTCAGTGTATAAGCCAAAATATTCTTAAAATAGTGAATTAGAAATTGAGGGCAGGCTGACTGTTACAGGATTCACACTGACAGCAAAAAGACAACTATATAGAGACTGAGAAATAGTCCAAAGCAGAGTAATGAGGCCATTTAGTATGGCAGCAAACCGCTGTATACAACTGCTCAGTTGTTCCTCAGGTCATAGTTTTATAGCCACTGTAATAAAAGTCATAAGAATAATGAGGGAGTGGGTAGGATTGTAGTATTCTCTCAGTTATGAAAAGCCAGGTTATCAAAAGAAAAGGTATTAAATTTTGAGATACTGAAAATATTTGGCTCTTTAGAATGATCTACTTTCCAAGGTTTCCTAGAGTTAGAATATCAGTTTGGGTATTGAGAAGCACATATCTACAAATGACTCATTAAAGATCAGATAATAAAATGTATGACTCAAAGAGAAGGAGGGTTCCTTCTTTAATGACAATACTAACCTCAGTATTTGGTTAATAAAGATAATATTAACCCCGATTTAAAGGTTTATCTATATATATAAAAAGCCAGCGACCAGAACTCTGTAATGACCAGAATGACCGGTTGCTATGATGCCCACTGTGGCCAAGAAACCAGCATGATTGGGAGGGGGGTGGGCACTGGCCAACTACCTGCAGCCCCTCCTCAGGCCAGCCCTGCTCCCAATGGGCCCCCACCACCAGGATCCACCTGCAGACCCTCCTCCTGGCCAGCCCCGCCCCTGATTGACCCCACCCCAATAAGGGGTGGGGCCAGCCAGCCAACCACCTGCAGCCCATCCCTACAGCTGGCCCCACCCCCAGTGAGACCCCACCACCCCAATCGGCCTGCAGCCCCTTTCCACATCCAGCCCTGCCCCTGATTGCTCCTCCCTACACCAATAGGGAGCAGGGCCAGCCAGCTAACATCCTGCAGCCCCTCCTCCCACCCGGCCCCACCTCAGATGGGCCCCCACCACCCCGTTTGGCCCATGGCCCCTCCCCTCAGCCAGCTTCACCACCAATCAGCCCCCGCCACACCAATCGTGGGTGGGGCTGGCCGGCTAACCTTCCACAATCCCTCTCCTAGCCACTGACCCACAATTGTCCCCCTCCAACCCATTTGGGGGCAGGGCCGACCAGCCAACTTCCCACAGCCCCTCCCCATGACCACCTCACCCCCAAACGGCTCCCCACCCCAATCAGGGGTGGGGCCTGCCCACCAATTGCCCTAGGCCCCTCCCCCCAGCTGGCCCAGACCCAATCAGCCTCAATCAGAATGGGCTGGCAGGCCAACCTCCCACCATCTCCTCCTCCCAATAGGCCTGCCCTGATCCACCCTGATTGGAGCCGGGCCAACCGGACCCCACCTGTGCACAAATTCGTGCACTGGGCCTCTAGTATGTAGATAAAGTAGAATGAAGGTAATTATTAGGGTAGTGTCAGATTCTGCAGAAAGAGCTATATTTGAATGTGAAAGAATTGCAGTGGAGACTACGGAAATTATCTTCTTCTTATCCTTAATCTAGGATGAGCCAAATGGGATGGAGCCCATATCTTATAGAAACCAATTCCCAAGGAGAAACTTCTGGGCCAGTCTTATTAGAACTGACTAAACATTAGGTACAACGTTTAAAAAAAATCCCTAAACTATACTTTTCCATATAGAAGCTATAAATAATAACTAGAGCTTGAAACTATAAGTCATTTGGATAAAAGATGGTAATAGAACATGGTAAAATTTACATGTTGCCTTACACTTATTCATAAATATACCTCATTCCTGTTGATATGGCAGCCAAAATTCTTCATTCTTTCTCATGATAATCCTCTATAGGAAGGGAGGCTCTGCATGACCATAGTTAGTATACTACATACTTTTATCCATTTCTAGTTGAAAATTATTGAACAGTTTTTCATTTTCTAAAATTACTATAATTTAAAGAAAAATTACCTTTAAGGCTATTTTGAACTTCCAAAGCTATGTCAAGAGCATTAAAGGGCAGAACTGGTTCGTTGGCAATCTGTAAAATCACTTCTCCTGAGAGCTGAAAGAGAAAAAAAATGCTAGTATTAATATTAAGGGTTTTTGTTTGTTTGTTTTTCATTATTCTATACACTCTTATACATTCATAGTAGCACAAACACAGGAGATAAAATATACTTTTACACAATCTTTTTTTTCCTTTTAAACCTCTTTTTATTTTATTTTTCTATAAAGAAAAAAGAAATCTCAGTATCTATTTCATGTCTTGGGCTAGTATAAAGAAATATAAATTTGTTTCTCTTTTTTGGAGCTAAATATTAAAAAGTGTTTCTGTACTTGGGGTTGTAATATTTAAACTTTTAAACAATCCCTTATAAGACAGTTCAGAATGTCACATAATAAACTAGAGAGGAACTGGAAATGAATATCTGGTCATTGAACTAAATAAAACTTCAGGTAAAATTAATGATGAATTGATTTCATTTAAAATATAATTCAATCAAAAAATGGCTTTAAAATCTTAGGTATTCTTTTCCTTTATGCTTTACTATGTCCCTAATTAGTTTTCTAAAATTTATCAAAACTAATAATGTTTATACCACTTCAAGATCAATGTTTAAATTAAATTTTAAAATATAAAATTCTAAATGGCATCCCCAAAACTCATACTTGGAGTTTTTATGCATGTGTATTCCCCACCAGAAGACTCCAAAACTGTTTTTGAAAGCCAATATATTCACTATAGCTGAACTAGCATCTCTTAATAGACTGAAGAAGTCATATGCATTCACATACATCTCAAAGAAACTTCAGATGGGTGGCAAATGCTATTGTTACTCTCCCTCTTTCTCTCAACTGATATTGAGTATTTACTGGGTCTATATAAATGTCCCACATTTTTTTTATAGATCTAAAGCTGGCATACAGTAAAATGTGGCTGAGTTAATGTTATTAATAAACTATGAAATGTTGTTAGTCAGTGAAAATACTGTTTGTAAAATCACAGAAGGGAAATTAGTACACTAAATTGAAACAGTACAAAATACATAAGAGATATAACGTATAAGAAAAAATATGATGCTGAATATTAAAATCCACATATTCAACAAGGGTCAGATTCCATTTGACATTTCAAAGTTATATTTCTCAATTGTTTACACAATTTATATCATGATAAAAATACAATTCAATTTGATATTCTATACGCTTGGAGAAACATATTTCTTAGAAATAAAGAAGGAAAAATAAACTTTAACATCCCTTTATTTCTTTGAGATTTTTTTTTAAATTTTTTAAAAATATATTTTATTGATTTTTTACAGAGAGGAAGGGAGAGAGATAGAGAGCTAGAAACATCGATGAGAGAGAAATATCGATCAGCTGCCTCCTGCACATCTCCTACTGGGGATGTGCCCGCAACCCAGGTACATGCCCTTGACCGGAATCGAACCTGGGACCTTTCAGTCCGCAGGCCAAAGCTCTATCCACTGAGCCAAACTGGTTTCGGCATTTGAGATATTTTTCTCCCAAATGTAGCAAGCACTTCTTCCCCAATGCCTAAGGTATCTTTTCAGAGTTTTATCACCAGCTTAGTGATCACAAAAATCCTGGGAAAGTGCCTATTCTGATTAGGCTGTCTGCAATAGATTGATATGAATCCTGCTTCTGTTCCATCACACCCCATCCAACTCATGCAAGGACACTGATATTTGGAAATAAATTATTTGCAAAAAGAAAATTTTAAAGAAGATTAAGAAGCACTATAGTTTCTTTTTCCAATTTGCACTGGATAATTGAAACTACAGAACAGACATATTTTATTTACACTTTTGGAATCTGGAAACCACACAAAAGATTAAAATGAAAGAATGGGGAGGGAGGAGAAAGGCGACTTCTCTGTCTGCTGCTGGAGTTGTTTTGTTTTGGTTTCTTAAGAGTCATTTGGCAGCTCAAACAACTGGAATATGAGCCAGTCACCTTGTGTTTTTCTTTCAGAAAGAACCTGGCAACAAATTTTGGGATTTCTAAGTCACCTGGCTCATGGTAGACTGCTTAGACTAAATCAGCTTTATTTGCAGCTGCGTAAACAAGAGGGATATTTATGTATGCCTTGCCACGAAGTGAGAGGAGATGAGACATATGCATACACTTCTCACCCACTATGGAATTTAACCTTCTTCAGTCATGCCAGACAACCTTCTTTTATATTTATGCAAGGCCCCGTTCTTTTTAAGTGCTTTATACCCAAATATCTCATTTCATTATCTTGACAAGCCTAGAGACAAGTAGTAGGGTCATTAAGCCTGTGTTAAAAACATTGAGTACAAGCCTTCCTGGGTTCCAGTCTAAGATGATGACATAGGAGACTCCTAATTTAGCTCCTCTCATGAACATTCCAAGTCTACAGCTACACATAAAATAATTCCCTCTGAAAAACTCCGGAAACTAGCTGAGTGATTCCTAGGCTAAAGGAAAAACAAAAACAAAAACAAAAACACAATCCCACACACATAAAAATGATAAGAAAGTCTGAGACATACTCTGGCCCTAAAACCCACTGCATCCCAGGGACCTACAATGAGGTAGGAGCTCATAACTCTTAGCTTTTCTCTGAGGAGAGAAGTGTTTGGATACACCATCTAGTGTCCTAACTTTTAAGATTTATATTTGAGGAATAGAAGCCCAAAATACCTAGCACTGAAAGCCATTGGGGCTTGTGTCCACAAGACCCACAACGCTATAGCAAACAAACAAACAAACAAACAAACAAACAGTTCTTAAACATCTTGGGAGGACTCCCTGTGGCTAAGGTTCAGTGCAGAGCCTGCAGGCAAAAAAAAAAAAAAAAAAAAAAAAAAAGACCACGTCCTACCACGTCCTAGTCTTTCCTTGAAAAAAGTGCTAGCTGCATATATACAAATCTATAGCCTGAGCGTCAGGTTTCTAATTTAACACACATCTATGGGCCAAATGAAATCCCCTTTGGAGATTGGAGAGAATGACAAGCGTCATCTTTGTGTACTCCCTCTGCTCTGCTGCAAGTCACTGGAAAGGATCTTGAAGAAAGGCTCCAAAACCCACAAGCAGAGCGTGGAGGACTTCACAGACACCTGGACATACTCACCGAGCACTGTGACAGTCCCAAGTCACTGGGCGAAGTAGCCTTCCCACCCAGAGTGTGAGCTGGCACCGAGGGGAACTAGAAGGCCAGCTTGGGGTTATGTTTGGTGCCTGTGGTATTTGCTAGAAACGTTCTTTACACACACCCTTGTGTCTTCTTCTGAGACAGTGCTTTTCAAAGCAGCGTGCCCTCATTCTGGAACTTGATTAAGGTAAGACTATCCTTTTACTCTATTTTAGTTTCTCAGTAGCACATTGAAGATGAAGCTTTTTAGTTTGGACTGGAAACTATTGAGAGTTTAACCATAGATTAAGGTGATTTCTGTGTAAGTGCCAGGAAAATAATTTTACACCCACGTTGCCTCTAACTCATGTTGACAGCCAGCCAGCTGTCTCTGCCTGAATAAACTGCCTCCAGAGGGGGAGCTGCTACATGCAGACCCTCTGGGGCCCTCTATGTGCTGTCCTTCCAAGCCCCTCAAGCTTGGGGCGTATGCTGTTCCACCCAGGGCCTGGGGAAGCCACTTGCAGCTGTGTGGCCTTGAGACTGCCTCCTCAGCCCGCCTGGCCAGGGAGAATAGCTGCCCAAGGCAAGGATGGAATGAACGCCTTGCCCCTTTCTGAGTTGAGCTGGTGGCAGCCTGTGTCCCCAGCGTCCCCATTTCATTCATGTCAAGTGGGTATTGCCATGGCAGATATTATTTTGAACTCTTTATTAAGTAAATCACTTATCTTCATTTTATTGAACTCTTGTTTCTGGAATTTTATTTTGTTCTTTGTTTGAAGCATATTTCTTTGTTTCTTCTTTTTCCTTGGCTCTGTGTCTGTTTCTGTTCATTTGATAAACTAGTTACCTCTCCTATTCTTGATGAAATGGTCTCCTGTCGGAGGTGAACCTTACCATTCAGCCTGGCTCTAGCTCTTGGTTGTCTCTCAAATCTTTGTGATTGAACAAGCTGAATTCTTTGTTTTTAGTGCCTCCCAATAGTTGAGGATGTGCCAAGAGCACTCAGTGTCCCAAAGGGAGGCTCTCAGCACCTAGATGCAGGCTGACTGAAAGCCAAGTGCTCAGGCACCAATTTTTTTGAAACATGTAATAAACTTCTTTCAGGGAAAAGTTAGGAGATGCATATTTCACTCTGTTACCTCACCTTTATACTGAGCCCTGGAGCATTAGCCAGTTAAGTGTGTTTTTTTGTTTGTTTGTTTGTTTGTTTGTTTTTGGCTGGCATGGCTCAGTAGTTGAGCATTGACTTATGAACCAGGAAGTCATGGTTCAATTCCCGCTCAAGGCAGATGCCAGGGTTGCAGTGGGGGATGTGCCGTAGGCAAATGATCAATGATTCTCTCTCATTGTTGATGTCTCTATCTCTCTCTCTCCCTCTCCCTTCCTCTCCAAAATCAGTGACAGAGGAAGCCAAGCTTCTCCACCTGCCTTGCCGGCCTCTCAGCTGTACTCTAAGCAACATCATAGTCAGAAGATCAAGGGATGCATTTCCTGAGTGGTAGCTGCACATCTAGGTACCAAGCAAATACACAACCTCCTTTCAGGACGCCGCCACTTTCCTGAATCTTTTTGAAGGTTGCCTAGGCTGGGGGTCATCTTGTCCTGGCCTTGCCACTTCTTCTCCTTGTTCTTTTTGCTCGTTCTCATGGCTTCCATGAGTTTCACCAATCCATCTTTATCTTCTTCCACTTGGTCATACCAAGTTCTGCAAGCCTTTCAGCTTCATAGGCCCCTTTTGGACCTGCTTGTAGGCTTCCATGCAGCTCACCCACAGCTCAATAGTAAACTCCAGAATATTCTAATCTTTGTTGGTGATAAACTTCTTATAAATATAGTATAAAGGTTATATAACAAAAGTATTACAATAACTATAACCACAATAATATTTTACTGACTATTCAAGATTAAAGAGGTACATTGGGACATCAAAATAT